GGTTTCGCATTAGGGTTCCGATCAGAAAAGAGTCACGCGCTGCGCTAATGCAGCAGTAAATTTAAAAACGGAAACAATCTGTGGTTTTAAATATTATTGGCGCATGTAATGGAGCTCCATCTGCAGCCATTAGTGTCCAGTGGTACCAACTGAGCGATATAACCGATCACGATTACGTGCGTCGCGGACGGTTCAATCAGAGACGATAATCACATTATTGATCACTTAATAAACACTATATGTGATGTTTAAAATTTACTTTAATTGTGGTAGTTGGTTTGATTTTAATAGTGGGCCTGGATACATAAAATAAGTGAATTACTTAACACAAGGTGGTAAAATTGAATTGTTGTACCAAATAATAATGCCGCTGCTTAAAATATTGAGTAAGAATTATGTTCTAAATATTTTTATTGTTTGTAATATGTCAATATAAGTTTTCCAAGGTTAAAATATCAAAATAAAACAATAAAATCAGAAATCACTAAATCTGAAAAAGTCAATTGAAAATCCGAAATCAAGAATCTTAAATCGTCAATTAATAATCAGAAGTAAAAACTTATAACTCAGAAACTAGAAATAAGAAACCGATTCAAAATAAGTCAGTATCATTTACAACAGCTGATTTATAAGAACAAAACAGATACAATATAACGTACTAAAACAGATACGACGATGAAACTATGTCAACATTCCAATCACACATTCGATGCTACGGCTAAAAACCTATTTCTGGCGGAATCATTTATAATAACTTTGAACTTAAATGAATGCAAGTAATGCATAAAATTTAGTTAAACTGCTCACTGTACCATTCTAATAGTACCAAGAAGTTTTGTAAATTTATTTTAGGTTATGTTACCAGTGAATAAAACACCGGGTACTTCAAACTCTCTGAACTACACAGTTAACACTTTTTATTTTATTTTATTAGTAAAGCGTATAACTTATAACATTTGGTGCAGCATCTGATATTCGCTCGGTGTGCAGGTTTGCGGTGAAGGGGTTTTCCTAATCTTTTAGCCCCCATTGACCACATGACTGTCATAACTAGATATTGAGTGTTTGTATTACCCCTCCCCTCGCCCAAGATTGTGTAACGGGATGACCGCAGTCAGCTGGGGCTGTGACGTCATTAGCAACAGCTGTTATCACTAACGTCCTTTTCATACGACCTTGTTATCAGCTGGCGCCCCTACATTAGGATCTGACCAGTTTCCAATACAGGATTTTATGGCCTTTGTTTCATATCTTTTTATTAAAGAAATTATGCTTATCTTTCGCCCTATTTTAGTGAAACTAATAACATGTACTTCTATTTTGTTGTTAATAGAAATTGTAAATGTGTTGAAGAAAATATAATACAGCACACATAATAATTAAGATTTCAAAAAAAGTTTTTTGGAAGAAGCCTAAATAATAACAATTAAAACACTATCAACTGTAAAGACAATAATTAAAGTAGACACTAAATATAGAATTTCAACATTTGTAAGTTAATAAAGCTTACGCTTGACTTTGTTGACTTAAAACAGGTTTAGAAATTATGAAATATTATTATAAAGAACGTAATTAAAAATCAATTATTGCAGCTCCTGATGTACCTGAAGTGCGGGGTGCCACGGCGCCACCTGCTGCCTACGACAGTACCCTGATGTTGTATACAGAGTGGGCAGAATATAATGCATGTGTAGGGGTGCCCTCAGCTGTACCTGCAGTGCGGTGCGCCACAGCACCACCTGCTGCCTACGACAGTACCCTGATGTTACATAAAGAGTGACAGTATACAATGCATGTGTAGGGGTGCCCTCAGCTGTACCTGCAGTGCGGGGTGCCACGGCGCTACCTGCTGCCTACGACAGCTTCCTGATGTTGCATACAGTGTGGACAGAAAATAATGCATGTGTAGGGGTGCCCTCAGCTGTACCTGCAGTGCGGGGCACGATGGCGCCACCTGCTGCCTACGACAGCACCCTGATGTTGCATACAGTGTGACATAATAAAATATATGTGTAAAGGCGCCCTCAGCTGTACTTGCAGTGTGGGGTGCCATGGCGCCACCTGCTGCCTACGTCAGCACCCTGATGTTGCATACAGTGTGACATAATACAATGTATGTGTAAGGGCGCCCTCAGCGGTACCTGCAGTGTGGGACACCATGGCTCCACCTGCTGCCTACGACAGCACCCTGATTTTGCATACAGTGTGACATAATAAAATATATGTGTAAAGGCGCCCTCAGCTGTACTTGCAGTGTGGGGTGCCATGGCACCACCTGCTGCCTACGTCAGCACCCTGATGTTGCATACAGTGTGACATAATACAATGTATGTGTAAAGGCGCCCTCAGCTGTACTTGCAGTGTGGGGTGCCGTGGCGCCACCTGCTGCCTACGTCAGCACCCTGATGTTGCATACAGTGTGACATAATACAATGTATGTGTAAGGGCGCCCTCAGCTGTACCTGCAGTGTGGGGCGCCATGGCGCCACCTGCTGCCTACGACAGCGCCCTGATGTTGCATACAGTGTGACATAATACAATGTACGTGTAAGGGTACCCTCAGCTGTACCTGCAGTGTGGGGCGCCATGACGCCACCTGCTGCCAACGACAGCGCCCTGATGTTGCATACAGTGTGACATAATACAATGTATGTGTAAGGGCGCCCTCAGCTGTACCTGCAGTGTGGGGCACCATGACGCCACCTGCTGCCTACGACAGCGCCCTGATGTTGCATACAGTGTGACAGAATATAATTCATGTGTAGGGGTGCCCTCAGCTGTACCTGCAGTGTGGGGCACCATGGCGCCACCTGCTGCCTACGACAGCACCCTGATGTTGCATACAGTGTGACATAATACAATGTATGTGTAAGGGCGCCCTCAGCTGTACCTGCAGTGTGGGGTGCCATGGCGCCACCTGCCGCCTACGACAGCGCCCTGATGTTGCATACAGTGTGACATAATACAATGTATGTGTAAGGGCGCCCTCAGCTGTACCTGCAGTGTGGGGCGCCACGGCGCCACTTGCTGCCTACGACAGCTTCCTGATGTTGCATACAGTGTGACAGAATACAATGCATGTGTAGGGGTGCCCTCAGCTATACCTGCAGTGTGGGGCGCCACGGCGCCACTTGCTGCCTACGACAGCTTCCTGATGTTGCATACAGTGTGACATAATACAATGTATGTGTAAGGGCGCCCTCAGCTGTACCTGCAGTGTGGGGCGCCACGGCGCCACTTGCTGCCTACGACAGCTTCCTGATGTTGCATACAGTGTGACATAATACAATGTATGTGTAAGGGCGCCCTCAGCTGTACCTGCAGTGTGGGGTGCCATGGCGCCACCTGCCGCCTACGACAGCGCCCTGATGTTGCATACAGTGTGACATAATACAATGTATGTGTAAGGGCACCCTCAGCTGTACCTGCAGTGTGGGGCGCCACGGCGCCACTTGCTGCCTACGACAGCTTCCTGATGTTGCATACAGTGTGACAGAATACAATGCATGTGTAGGGGTGCCCTCAGCTATACCTGCAGTGCGGGGCGCCACGGCGCCACCTGCTGCCTACGACAGCGCCCTGATATTACTCTCGGGTCACAACTGTTCCGCCAGCTGTCGTCATATTGCCTTCCTAATTGCTCCAGTAATGCGGGCTTCGATCCAAGACTTCTTAAAGACTTGCTTTGATTTGAACTTTTCGCAATACGGCAAACTATTATTAATCCATACATTGCACAACGTATTGTGTTTATGCTGTTTCGACGTAATTTCTCAATAGATTTTTGAATTATTTTTTAGTAGGCCTATAGTACACTTTTAAAATTGTTATTGACGTTACATATCCTTATGTAACAATAGTTGTGGAGCAGTGGTTAATTGCCTAATGACCAAGTCTATAGCAGAGAAACTTTCAACCTATGCTTCATTCATTACTTTATTTTTTTATGGAAATTTAAATTACGGAATTTCTCTGGGTACACTCGACTGCATATCAGTTTCCAAGGCTAAATTTACTGTATGTATATTTGTTTTTTGTAAGTCATTATCTCTTAAAACATTACATGTTACGATTACATTTACATGTGACTGTTAATTTTTCCCAACAAAATTCAGAAACAGATCTTGTGCGAAAATATTTTTTATGGACAAATATAAAACAAATATTTTAAATTCCGAATCGAACAAGAATAGGTTTACCTTACACATTGATAAATTATTTACAGTGATAAAATATTTAATATTTGTTTTGCAATGTTACACTTTGTTCGTTCTTACGTACAGCCTAAAGTCTAGGTATACCAACTCAACGCTGCTAGGTTTAACGTCAATCCTATATTTACAAATAGGGGATCAATTTAAAATTCAAACAGACTAAAGTATATCCAGGGTTGTTATAATCGGCCACGTACAGCCTGCTATCTGACATGGCCAGGGAGAACAAACACAGGGGCGACCCCCCTCCCCCCTCCCCCCCACACACACACACACGGTGACACTTGAACCGGTCATAAATACTATGTGGCATTGCTGGTACAAAATATTGGTAATGTACAGGTTAAGTAACTAAGCCTACTACTACTTCTCCCCCTGACGAGGTAGTGTATCACTAAATCATGTGTTAAGATGATTTTACCAACGACCGTTTTTTTAAAGTAGTTGTTTCAGTTCATTTCTTACAAATGAAATGTTTCTCGTAACAGCATTGTTTATTTTCATATCAGCATAGCTTTACTCATAACAACACGGGTAACGGACCAATGAGGTTCAAGGGTTGAGAGAGATTAAGTAAAATTGTAATGCTTAAAATTTTCTACTCGTGTCGTTAACACTATCTTTGCGCAATCGTTGTGTAAACTACTATTAACGCCCAGTAACTGTGAACCAAGTTTCAAAGCTCTATCTTTATCAGTTTTTGGAATATTTACCCGACCCGGTAAATTGTTTTTTACCTTGTACATGTTTTACATTATCGAACTACAATGACCCCTTGTGTTCCAGAGTCGATGGAGACGAAGACGATTAAGGAGGAAGCCCCAGAGACTCCAGTGGTCAAGGAGGTGTCGTCCGTCACACAGCCTAGATGTCGCAAAGGTAGGAATCTGTGTTATAACACACTATATCAAAATACTAAAATAGGCAATCTGGATAAATAACCTCGGGTACTCCGTTGTAAAGTCCTTAATATGAAATGCAGCTAAAACAGTTTTATAGTTCCCATATGCATAAATAAAGAGGGACGAAATTTTGATATTTTGGATATTGTTTTCTTAACAGTGTATTTATATGTAATGCATTTTATGTTATTTGCTTAAATTTTTTTTAATTTTAGCAAGACATCTTAGTTTCTAAAATGGGTAACTTATTCCATGTATATAAATAGCAAACGAAATAGCGGATATTGTTACAATACTACGACACAATTAATCCAGAATACAAACTACGAAAAAGTCATATTCAACAAGAATATGTAGCTCTACAAATTCAGTACTTAACGCAACTTGTTGCGTGTTCACTAATATTTGTTTACATTTGCCTCTGGCCTACTAGTTGTGTCTGTAATAAAGTTTGTCTATGTAGTCACACTAAATTTGTGTGTATCCTGCTATAGTTGGATATGTGGTCATACTAGTTGTGTATATAACCATCTTGGTAAAAAATGTAACAATATTAGCTGTATATAGCCCTACTACTCCTGTGTAAGTAGCCATTCTACTTATGAATGTAGCCTACTAATTGTGTGTATGTGGCCCTACTACTTGTGTGTATAGCCATTCTACTTATGTATGTAGCCCTACTACTTGTGGGTATGCAACCATTCTATTTATGAATGTAGCCCTACTACTTGTGTGTATGCAGCCATTCTACTATGGTATGTAGCCCTACTAATTGTGTGTATGCAGCCCGACTGATTGTGTATGTAGCCATTCTACTTATGTATGTAGCCATCGTACTTGTGTGTATGCAGCCCGACTGATTGTGTATGTAGCCATTCTACTTATGTATGTAGCCATCGTACTTGTGTGTATGCAGCCCGACTGATTGTGTATGTAGCCATTCTACTTATGTATGTAGCCATCGTACTTGTGTGTATGCAGCCCGACTGATTGTGTATGTAGCCATTCTACTTATGTATGTAGCCATCGTACTTGTGTGTATGCAGCCCGACTGATTGTGTATGTAGCCATTCTACTTATGTATGTAGCCATCGTACTTGTGTGTATGCAGCCCGACTGATTGTGTATGTAGCCATTCTACTTATGTATGTAGCCATCGTACTTGTGTGTATGCAGCCCGACTGATTGTGTATGTAGCCATTCTACTTATGTATGTAGCCCTACTACTTGTGTGTATGCAGCCCTATTGATTGTGTATGTAGCCCTACAACTCACAGATCATTGACGATGCTCAATGCTGTAACCGTGAACACGGGGATAATCCCTCGCAACATGTGTTATCGGTTACACATTCACCTATACAACCACCACACACTGTAAATAGATATTAAGGTTTGTTGTAGTTTTGTTATCAACAGTTTCAATACATTTTTTGTTGCTTTTAATTTAATATGTATTTTAATCTTTAAACTTACAAATTCATTATCTTGTTTTGAAAGACTTTTTTAAGGAAAAATGTCATAAATACCCTGTCATTGCCAAAGTTCATTTGAGTTATAAATCGAGAAATTCCCTAAAAATGAATGGAAATGCTTAAGAAAAAGCAAAATCGATTTCTAATGTTTGTAAATTGTATTTGACCAATCATTACATTTTAATTATAACGTTGTTTTAAAAATGGTTGACACTTTGTCTGTCTAAGTTAGTTTATGCTTTTATTTGGAATATCTAAATAATTAAAAACAATTGTTTTGCCGTTAGGAGCCTTATTTATGATCTTATCTGATTATATTGTTATTAGGTTAGCACACTTATTAAAACATTTAACTTAATTTAAAAGGTGTTGACCAAAGAGGGGGAAACAACCACAAAAACCGCAAAACAATAGTCCAATATTGTCTGGGTAGTGAGTGGTTATAGTGCTCGCCTTCAAATCTGAAGATCATAGGTTCGAGTCCAAATCAAGTCTCTTTATTTTTTACAGTTACACATTGCATAATGGCGTAAAAAGAATTCTCATAAAACAAACTAAAACAAAGTTACAAAGTTGTACTTATAGACATAAAAACTAAAGATCAGTGTCCAAGAGAGTTTCCAGACCAGATGCTATTTGACATTGGGCTATGAATTAATGATGCTATCTAACAAAAAGGTCGACGCTCGATAGAAACAAGACCAGGGTTTGGACCGTTCTCTTTCAAAACGTAAAAAATGTCACTAGCGTAGGAAACAAAACAGTGATTTTTTTATAGACCAACCATTCTATTTGACTATTAGACAAACGAGGACAAATTCAAGTAGTTATGTCTAATATATTACGTAGACACAATTATTAATCCTTAGCTCAATCACATTAAACAATTTTAATTATCTACAATCCTACGACAAAAAATAATTCAAAATCAACAAAATCCCTATGAGAATGTCTACTGATGGACACATGTTAAACCAAAGGTATGCAGAAACTACAATGAATAAGAGGCCATAAAACACACTTTGTCGGAGTGGTCAGGAGGGTTATGAAATATTACATCGGTGTTGTGTGTTTAGGGATTGAAAGCCCCATCAGGGGGGGGGGGGTTAATCTGGGAGCGGCGACACCTGGCGGCGCAACACAAAACTAAGCCCCGTTTTGAAACCTCGGCACCGCGACATTCGATAGATAGCTCGCTACACCGTGGCGATGGACTTCTTATTATCAAGGTGGCAGTAGAAATAGAAACTGACGTTCTTATGAAGATGGCAGTAGCAATGGACTTGTTTATTATCTTGGTGGCTATGGTGATGGCAACAAAGTTTCTTTTATCATATTGACAGTAAAAGAAGAACAAAATTTTCTTATCATGTTAGCAGTGATAAAGTAATTTCTTAAGGACGATGGCAGTGGCAAAGGATTGATCCTAATCACAGTTGTATTATAAATCGCAACATACTTGTTTCTTAACACACTGCCAGTAGGAATGGTCAAGAGCTTGCTTGTTATCACGGTGACAGTGTCCATAGCAATGGACTTACTATTATAGAGGCAGTATTGAGTGTAGCTCTATCACTTTTTTGTCTTTCTTCGTATGGTTGGAACACTAGCATTGATCTGTTAAATATCACCGGAATCTTGGTGAACTGAGTTGCTGCGTTATCTATATATCATTGTGACAAATCATTGGAAAGCAATTGGTCAACTTTTACCCTTGAGTGCGTGCACATGTACACATGTTCGAAGATAGTGTAAATTGCTAAAAACGTGCTGAACTATTTTTTGGCTCTTTCAAAACACTAGTTTCTTGTTTATTGATAGGTTATGCCAAAATAGCCGAAGACGTACCTAATGAACTACGTTTCATCTCATTTAAAAAAGTTTCCAATCAAAACTTAGGTTAGGTCAAAGAACTCACTAGCCCACCTAAATCTGTAATCCTTGCTGGATGCTTCAGACCAATCTGGAAGTAATTGATTGCAAGGCTCATAAAATGCAGATGAAGGTGACAGTTTATTGTAACTATTACATTTTCCATATGTATTTAAGCCGGTAATATAATTTTACACTGACCACACCTAATAACTATAACCTAACCTAATCCAACCTAAGAGAGAACTATGTTTTAAGTTAGGTTGGCTTAGGTTAGGAAGATTTTGCTATTTAAACTAATTAAAATCTTATTTGGAAGTTGATTTATCGGTGTGGTCGGTATAATACCAAAGTACCTTTGAACCTTTAAGTGTATGTATATTTACGTAATTCAAAGCACAGCCGTGAGCCACACAGTGTCCATGGCTAGTGGTAACACTGGTAACCCCTCGTCCTTCTAAGTAATCTGTGAACCCAACCACCTGCAACCGCCCAACATTCCTTAACGCTCCCCAAAGCTGTTTTTTTATTTATTTTTCGTGTTTTGACAAAAGAAGCATTAATTAATGTGTTCAAAAGGACCAGTGCCCTAGTCTTAATCCTTGCTTTCGGCAACCGGCTGTTGGAATCGACCAATATCGCCAAATCTCTTCTGGGTACAAAGACGATAACTTAAACGTTTTTCTCCATTGTTGTGGACGTTGGATATTTGAGCATAACCATTTTTTGCTGATTGATCAACATATACCTGGGTAGCTAAGGGTTAAAACCAGCTGTCCGTGATCATCAGGCTTTAAAATGATTCTTACTGATGAAACACTTGTCTTTATTTTACAACTCAATTTGCATTCATATTTAGTGTGCGTCGTTGTATCAAAGAATTATTTGATAATGTATATTTTATCACACTTTTGTACCGAATTTCATTTAAATTTATTAGGGTTATTGAGCATTAAGGGTCCCAAAAGAATAGCATTCTCCATTGTTGCGCATTCTCTGTGCTCCTTAACTAATTCAGTTTTTGAGAATTTTCTAAAAGTTGTTGCTATTTAACTTTGATTATGTGGCTTTAAGTAAGCGACAAGTAAGCATGACTAAGTCATTTTCTAAAAGATACTTTGCCAAAAATATTGATACTTACCGTGAGAATAAAATTTACCACAACAAGTTTCCTGTTCCACAAGTCACGGATGTTTCCTCTAGTTTTACATGTGTTTAGTATTAGTACAGAAACTATTAAAAATTAATCACTTCCAGAAAATCAAATTACCAAGGAAACTAAATTAAAGAAACAAACAAATTAAAAGACTGTCCATTTTGCTGAATGTCCATTACCAAGTTTGTTCTAAAAGTGATTTTTAAATTCAGTCTCAGCTGCTTCAATCAGTGACGATAATTGTTGAGAAAAGTTTAAAATTACAAAATTGCTTTAAAAAGTTAAGCCCGATCAATCTCCCGTTGTTCATCAGGTAATGCAACTTGTTTTGTCCCCAACTGACACATAATCAGTTTCAACCTTCGTTATACTCATCATAGAGTACAACAAAATAAAAAGTTTTAGAGGTTTTATGATGATTCTAATAATCTGATCTACTTTATTCTCCACGCCTACGAAGGATTCTTGTATCAAA